TTTTAACACGATATTTTTACAAACATACATAAAAATATGTTGCAATCATATTAGCTTCATTTACTAAACCTTTTTTCACAGTATGCAAAACTTGAACAAAAGGTTCAAGTTTCAAAGTATATCTTCTGTTTAGTTTCATCTGCTGTAATGAAAATGTACTGAGCAATGAATGTACTCATGTTCTGGGTGTTGTTGTTTTTTTTGTCTTTTGGAGTGGGGGGGGCTGTTACCAGTAGTTTTTCTAGCAACTTCTAATTAATATCTTATACAAAAACATGTAAGAAACAAGAAAGTGGCTTTTTTTTTCCAGGATAGGGAGGGTACACTGTGAACTCCTGTCAAACGCCAAAGCCTCAAATGCTTAGCCTTGGATAACAGCCTAGCAACTTCTGGCCCGGTTTCCAACCACGCTGGTTTCAACACCAGAACTGCAACTTATCTCAGGAAGGCAGATAAAGAGCTTTTGTCACAAAAATACTACACTAAAAGCCCCTATTATAGCTATGTGCAAAGCAAACGGAGTTTCAGCAGTTAGCTGATGCTCAATTTCAATCCAAGCACTCACCACAGTATGGAATTTAGATTTTGATTCTGACTACCTCAGAGGAACAGGGAAGCTGTCACCTACAGCACAGTAATTTTAGGCATATTTGGAACAGGGTGTCCTTGAAAGAGAGAGAGGAGGCACCAAATTACTATATGCTAGCTGTGAAATTGCAATTTACACCTGCATCGCATGATGAAGACATTAAACAAAAGGATTTGACATTTCACACATTGTTAACAAAATATTTTCAAAATCAAAATCAATCATGCAAGAGGCGGTGGGTGCAGTGGGGGAGTCTGTTAACCCTGTAACAGTGTTTTAGACACTTCTTCAACATCTACTAACATACAGCTACGTTAGTAATAGCTGCTCTGGCTCAACATGTCTCTTAGGACCATAGAGAGACAAGTCTTTCAGCTTATGTGCAGTACATGGTAATACACATGACACACAATAATCTATTTGAAGGATTTTTTTCACTGTCGCAAAAAGCACATGTGAAGCAAATAATGCAGTCATTGTACTTATATTAATTTTAACGCTAAAAATACCACAATCATCACCATTGGCCTGGACAGATATTCCATGAGTCAGAAAAAAATAAGCTAACCAAGCAGGGAGGGGACCATAAGCAGCTAATTCTTTGCCTTTTCATTTAGGAATATGACACATTATAGGTCTGCTGATCTTCAAAAAGTGAACTCATGGTGTGAACGCTTCCTTCAAAAAAAAAAATAAAATAAAAATACAGATGCATTTTTGATTAGTATAACTAGTTTTTTGTCATCATGCAGACATGAAACTAACCAATTTTGCCACACCTCGTCATCACACATTGTCTGGAGCATTTTGCATAAAAATGGTTCATCGACAATGTCAGAAAATCTTAAAATAACTTCTAGGATTTGAATTTAAAGTAGCTGTTTGTATTTGTAAAACAACTTTCTGCAAATATAATAATTAAAATAGTCTTAAGACTAAGGAAAAAACATGTAATCATCCAAAAGTAGTTGAGAGTTAAAAGTTGCTTGACCAGAGAATGATGGCTTATGGGAAGATGAACAACAGAATTGTAGAACAAAAAAACAAAAGAGATGCACGACTGATATTAACACGGTGCTTGCTACGATCAAGTAGGGTTAGTTTAAAACCAATGTAGCGAGTCACAGCCCTATTTGTTACTGTGGGGATATCAGTTACCTAATATTAGTGCTTGCCACTTCACTGGTGCAACGAAAAATAGTTTGGCGGGATGCAGCGGGTGGGCAGCTGTCTTATTTTTCGTGTTCAGTCGTGGGACTCCACGATTACAGTATACAGTGGAAGAAAACGCTAATATTTATAACGGAAAATAGTTGTAGAGCAACCGCGACTGTCTCCGTTGTTCTCAGATAACGTTATTTGGCTTGACAGTATCGTCAGCAGCAACGTGTGCAAAATACGGCTGTAAAAACTTATTTCCCTGAGCTTAACTGGCAGGAGGCAGCAAGAGTGCATACACTAAATAGCAAATACACTGGAGTGGACATGATCTGCCTTTCAGTAGTTAGTTATAGCTATTGTTTGTCCAGCAAACTTGTCATGACTGCTGCAAGTAAGAGCGATGACGGCAGCGTCACAAAGCCTTGCAAAAAAACAAAAAAACAAAAAAAAAATGTCCCCACTCAAAGTGTTGGTCAACTTATCGCTCGCCTTTGCACAGGGCACACAGTGTTGCCACTAAATAGAGTATGCGTAGCTAGCAGTTAGCCTGCTAGCCAAAACACGGCCTTTCTTGGAACCAAACTGGGAAGCTCACAACAAGAATGGCTGTCTGGTTTGTTAATGTTAGCGGGCTAGCTAGCTAGGTTCGCCGAAACAAAACGGGTTCGGGCCTGTGATTTTGCCACGGTGTTTGGACGCATATAACTGGTATGACATCGTGTTGTTATTCGTGCATAAACTCAAAGCATTCGCCGTTATCCTAATGATTTATGGTGGGGTTTCGTGGCAGTGCCTTTGAGATGAAAAAGACAACTGAAAGGGCTGAAAATGGGAAGTCAACACTTACCTAGCTTTACTTTCTACGCCATCTTGGATCCACTTGTCAGACCGTCATCGCAAAGCATAGTGGGATGTACAGATCTGAAGGTTGAGGGGACCGAAACGTGTGTTTGCGTGCGCGTCTATATGGCCCGTGATGACAAGCATCCTTTTTGTCATAGTAGTTAGTTTTATTCCTTGTAAGCACACACGTGGGACTAAAATTCAAGTAAAGTTAGTCTACGGGTCATTCTGCAGTTAGAGCACAATTTAGGAATCGTTTTTTAAAACTGGTCTTTTATTTCATAATTCTCTGTTATGTTTCTAAGAAAAACACATTAAAAAAACATCAAAAATATAGATTTGTCCACCTCAGGTATCAAAAGTACACTTTTATGTGACATTTAAGTTGCTGTGTGCTATGCTTGGTACAGCTCACACCAATACTCTGGAATATGAAAAAGCATATTTTATAGCATATAATATACATTCTTAAGACTTAATTTATATTCATTTAAGCAACTTTTGAAATCTACGTTCCCCAACGTTTTCATTTAATTTCAGTATTTATCTCAAATACACTGTTCACACATTTAATAATAATAATAATGATAATATTTTATATACTTTTAATATATTTAGAAAGTTTATTACACACACACACACACACACATATATATAGATATATATCTATATATATATTGAATTGAGTAACATAATGGACTGCAACAGTCATGAATGATTGTGAATATATATATTTAAAAAAGGAAGGAAACACCTAAATTAATTTATCTTCTTTTTGTAATACAGGTAACAGTGTTGCATTGGTTAGAGTGACACAGTCTAGTCAGAAAAGATTGGAAAAATACAAAATTTGCCAAAGAGAACTGACCTTTGGACTATCCATAATGTTATCACAGGACTTGTTCATATTACTTCTTTTTTGTCGCCTTCTAACTACTTTATCTTTTCCTTTTCCAGGCTAAATGGGCATAGTTGAACAAATGATCTGGGATACAATCACTCTTCTTTAAAGTATGTTGGGGTTTTAAAAAGTTGTTTAACAATTGTAACACACATGCCAACAAAATGAAAACAAAAAAGTGCGTTTATAACATCTTAATTGTTGTATTTGACATGCAATTCGGTTATTAAGAAGTTGTGATAAGAGAAAAATGCCATTTTCTTTTGGGGGAGGGGTTTCTCAAGAGTTATTTTATATTTTAAATAATAATTTTGGAACCACTTTATCAACAACTAGGTTTACATTTTGTCCCAGGACAGATATAATTAACCCCCAAATACATGTTTTAATATCTTATAGATATTTTCAAATTCATGAGTGGGACAGACAATGTTCTACAACTGTAGGATTGACTCCTATATGTCTGAAAATATAAAATCTGAAATGTAGCATTACGGTTTAAAAAAGAAATCTGCATCAAATTATGTTTATTAAACTAAAAAATTTAGTATAAAACTAAAAAGCATTTTGAGTTTATGACGTTTTAGGAACGTCACTTATCTTCCCTTAACCTAAAGGTATTTTTCCTCATCCATCCAGTCAAGCCTTTTATAACTCTCAGGGATGTACAATGATATGAGCCGATTTTGTGACACAGATGAGGTGTTTCTAATAAATCCAATCAAGTCCTCGAGGTGACCAAAATTAATCCATATGCTTCCTAGAACATATTTAAAAAACCCAAAATGACCACACACACAACAATAAGTGGTGTGTGTAAGATTAAACTGTGATGTATTGAAAATATCCACAATAATAACATTTGAATCTTTATGTTGACTTGCCACATTACATTGTGGACATAAAAAAAGAGGGAAAATATAATTTAGCTAGTTAAAATTGTATTTTCCGCACTCATAAGCCAAGAAATGAGGGCACATACACATAGTAAGTAAAGCACAGAGGTAATTGCTATGATTAAAAGCAGTTTTCCATTCAAATAAGAAGTTCCAGTATTCTGCTATTATGCATGCTAGCTCATTGTTATGGCACCCCTGACATTTTATTATCCCGAGCCACATTTAATGTCATTAGTTCTACCTGTGCTTTTGTGCTATTACCACTCAAAATGCCTACTGTGGTGTTTACTGGTGCACAACTGGATGCCAACAATTTCTTTGTCAATATATCTGCTGGTGGAAAAAATCTTTTTATGTGGTGTATGAATGTGTCAAACATTTCATTTTGGGCCCCGTGGAGATTAAAATCAAAGTGAAGAGAGGGATCTGCAATCTGGATAACCCATTGTAATTAAAGCATCGGCACATATTATTCATTGAACTTTGTGCGCTGTACGCCCTTGGTGTTTTTCACATTAATCCTTTTATCACCTACTATGCACTCATGTTTTCATGGTTTGTCATAATAGAATCAATGTAAATCAGGCTACAATAACACCTACATATATAACTGTTAACCAAATGTCAGAAGTTTATTGTTTACATTGCTAGATGTACATTGAAAACCAGGTTTTTATAAAGAAACAGAGGCTAAACTACTGTATATATTACATCAAATGGCAATGTGTAACACTTTGAATATCCAGTCCAGAGTGAGATACAAAGGATAAGTGTTTGCATGTTCATGTGTGTTGAAGACTTTTTTTGCTAATTCTATCACATCGGAATTAGATTGCTTTCACAGGCTGCCATTAAACTGTGTAGTCAAAAACATTTCCACAGAAGGAAAAACAAAATATGAATCAAAACATAAAATAAAGCACTTTGTTCTCGTTTCACTGCAGATTATGAATCATTTCCTCCTTGGCAATGAGATGTGTGGTCTTGTTGACCAGAGACATAAGTGAGTTGAGTTTGTGTGACCAGTCGTTAAGCAGGTCATTGGGGTCTTTGGGCCGCTGAAAGTTGATGATGCCAGCCAGCCGGTCAACCTTGGCGTAGATGGTCTTGTTTACAACTAGGCTGGAGAGGAACTCCTCCGACTCCTGATAAAGTATTTAACGAGAGAGAGAGACCTGGGTTAGTGCCTCTTATTTATAGTTTTTGAGTGTAACTCGGCAGTTCCGAGTTACACTCAAAAACTACATTTAAATGAGTTATTTAGCTATATTGTTTTACTTACATCAACAGAGAGGTCAAGAAGGTTAGCCATCCTTTTCATTGTGATTCTCGTGTAATATTTGGCCATTATTCGGATGTTCTGGGGACAGCAGAAAACACGTGAAAATCATATCACGGTTATCAGTGCACATACAATGTACCTAAATATAAGAGCCAGACAGTTTATCCACTCAATCTGCATAAAGCTTCAGAGTCATCTTTATCCCAGTTGCCTCCATCGTATTTCTATTGCATGTCCAATTGTGTTCCATTTAGTCCTATTACATATTAATGATCAAGGAACTGACCTCACAGCCCATTGTTCATTCAGTGGGTTAAATTCAGTCATTGTGCAAATGTAGTGTTTATAAGGTTGGGGAAACCTGCAGTCAGCTGAGACTGAAGAAGTCACTTGGATGACTGACAAAATGTTTCTCCCACTGAAAACGCTACGTCCAGATGAAGGGAATCAACCTTTTGGGATTAGTTCTTGTATCTATTTAAATTGAACTCAGTCCCTTGATCATTATAAGAAAAAAAGGTTTTGAATGGTCCTGCCAACTACTTTACTTTAGTAAAAAACGAGGGGAAAACATGTCACCCACTGACAAGTTTAAAACTAAGAAAGCACTCAGAAAACCGTCAAAACTAAAACAAGTCTAACAAAAAGTGTCACAGTTGTGTGTTCAAACTCCAAGTGAGAAGCCCCTGCTCTCGACAATAAGACTTACATGCTCGACCACTCTATTCTTCAGGTCCTTCCACCTTTTCTCCCCTTCCTCTGTATAAGAGAAGACATCTGTTGCAGGGCTGTTGGGTGATCCCTCTCTCAGCTCTTTCCCATAATCCTCCACCAAGGAGGCCCAGCGCATTAACTCCATGGTAGTGAACTGTTTCAGAAGGTCCCTGGGACAAGAAGAATATTTATTAACAACCCCTCCCAATAAAACTTGTATCTACGCCATGCTACGGAGAGTACACACCCAGTATCAACATATGTGAACATTGCTGTGGTTAGCTCTCCCAAGTAGCTTAGGAAAAAGTACTGCCTTGAATTGTTTTGTTGATTGGTTTGGATTGTTTGATTACGTAATTATGTAGGAAAACAATGGCAAAAGAAGAAAAATGAAGCAAAACACAGTACAATACTGCTCCTCTTTTATTTGACTCAGTTTACTTATCTGAAATAAGTGGGAAGAAGTGCACACTTATTTAATCACATTCTTCCTTCATAAGTCATCAGATACTATTTAGCCAACTTAATTATTGTTATAAACCTCAACAACAACAACAACAACATTATAAACACTTCCAATAACACAGAATATAAACAAAATGAAATACACAAAATAATAATCAGATCATCTTATATTTACAACTCCATAAGTTCACATCTGCAAGTGAAAGCCAAGTAACTCCACTTAGGGAATGTTAATTACAAAATCCAAATAAGCACAAAGTAACAACCAGAGACATTCACTGAAATTCAACATTGTCCCCTTCTTTACATCTCTTGAGGACCATATCCATACCATACCTCTCTTTTTGACCTGCTTCATGTTTGGACACTGATTCAACCTTTAACTGTCTGACTCCACACACTCAAACTAGAACTTTTCCTGGTAGTATACACCTTCAGTTTTGAAGTTGCAAAAACCCCTTAAATTATAACTTCATTCTCTCAGAAAAAATGCTTTGAATATTTCCTGGTAGCTGATTATGTTTTGCTCTCAAAAAAAAGAAAAAAAAAAGAAAAAAGAAAAAAAAAAAGTGCTGTCCAGAATTTCACAAGATCTACAAATTTTAATCATTTAATCTTTAAAAATAGTCAATTTATAAAGTCCTTGTAACCTGAATTGTAAATTATCATTACTGCCTTTAAAATAAATAAATAAATAATAACAGTGGATGTGATGTACTTTTGTAGTTATTGCCCCAGACCTCTGCACAATAGCTTAAATAAGGTGAAGCCAGCAAATCATCACCAGAGCAGAAAATATTACCATCATCAGCAAAGAGCAACATTTTTAAATACAGTTTTTAGCATTTTCTTGAGATAAAAACATTTAGCAACTTTGCTAAAATAGCAAATACCCACTGTGTGTGGGACTGTCCACAAAGATTCATATAGTAATTGAGAAAAGGTAGCAAGCTACATTATACTGTAACATATATTGTGTTTTCTTTGTATTTTTCTATTATCTAGCCACAACACATCTGTAGCTTACTTTTTTAGAGTACAGCAGCACCAAAAGCAAAGAAGCAAAAATTATTTCTCACTTGTATTTCGGGATTTCTTCCAGTTTCTTGTCTCCACTGATTCTGTGCACAAGGTCTGACTGCTCATTCTCATAGGGTGAAAGAATCACATAGAGCACCACACTCTTCAGGGCCTGAAAGACAAAAAAGTAGCTGCAGCACTCAACAAGCAACGAGCAAACTAGACATACAGATTTGATGGTGCTTAAACTATGACATCATTGTTTCTCTTATTCCAAAAGATTTTCACATGCTTTGTAGGAAAAAAAAAAAAAAAAAAAAAAAAAAAAAAAAAAAAAAAGAGCATTACCTCTGCTGGCCCAGTCTGTTTACTGCCTACATAGGTAGCACCAAATCGATAACCAGAATCACCCAGGGTGCTGAGGGTAACAGTATGGCTGACCTGGAAGTGGTTACTCAAGCCTTTGTTGACCACTAACCGCACCCCTTCCA